ATTCTCAGGGATTCAAGGATTATTAAAGCCAGAAGGTGCTGAAGGAGCCAAGGAGAGAAACAAAGGATGACCCAAGGGATTGTGATCGAGGGGATGTTGTGAAGGGAAAGAAGCAGGTGTGGTGTGTGACGAGAGAGAGGATGTGGACAGGAGAAACGCAAATGGAGGTAGAGAAGGGCGGAGGGAAAAACAAGTAGAAATAATGAAAAGCTTTTGGCGAAATGTAGTCGTTTGCTGGAGGAAGTTTTCCACTAAAAAATTTTCCAAGTCATTCTCTTAAGTGCTTCACCTGGGTGATGGAGAGGCTCAAGAAGGAGTTTCTGTCAAGAAAGAGCAGGAATCTATACAGTTGGGGCCAGCAGCCCAGGGCAGGGGGCAAGCTGTACCCAGCCAGGCCAGGAGATGGCAGTGCTGTTCTATCAGGAACCTCTCACTTCCCGAGCACTTTCCTCTTCTCCATAAAGGGGAGTGCTGGGGGAGTCTCCACTTTTCCCTCCTGGGTAACAGTCTGGAGAGTCAGCCCGTAGGATATGGCTCAGCATCCAGCCTGTGCTTGGCAGTTGCGCGCAGTGCTACTGCTGGACTAATGCACAAAGCAGGTAGCTGGGAAAGGCCCAGAGATTGCCTGGGGAGACCTGGGCTCTGTCCGGGGCCGGCTCTGCTGGGCTGGTGGTGGGACAGGTGGGATGGGGGCCGTCGGCATGATGAAAGGTGAAGGCGGCACCCCTGGAAGGGATTTTAGGCTGTTTCTAATGTGCAAGTGAATTTCCACTTCCCGAAGTTCCTCTGTTAGTTGGTTGTTTCTATGAGGAGATAGGAAATGGGTTGAGTTCCAATTCGAATGTCAGATAAAGAAGTTACGTTCCCAGTTTAGCCCATAAAAGCCTGTTTATTCTATAATAGATAAATTGCAGGGCACTCATAATGACAGAAATAGAAAACCATGGCATTGCAGTATTGTAATTTAAACAATAGAAGAAAACAAAATGGAATGAAAACAGTTCATTATTTTGGTAAGTGAAGAAAATTAGGTTTAATTGGAAGAGGATAAAGAGATGAGGCTTGCTGTGGTACATCTGAAGGAGACATTGGGGCCCTCTAAAGGCTTGTGGGCAGAGCCCTTTATTGTACTTAATACGTTTCTGATGTAAGGGAGGGGCTCCTGCAAGTTAACGGTCTTTGAGGAGCCAAAATCAGTAGATGGTCCTGGATCACAACACCTGGTGTGTAGAAGGGCACTGGGGTTGGCCGTGAAGACTTTGGTTTCCATTCCAGGTCCGGGTGAATTACTTACTTGCCTTCCCTGGGCCTCATTTTCTTCTTTGTAAAATGGGAATGATATCCATCCCTGATTTACTCACTGCATCGGTTGCTGTGAGAATCAAATAGATAAGGAAGGTGCTCTTGTGTGATAGGAAGCTCTCTGGAGTGTAAGACAGAGGGCGGGGAGCTTTGGTCTCTGAAACTTCATTCAAAACTTTCAGGTTTTCTTTATTCTTCCTTTCCTTAATAGAGGTGTATTTGCTGTGGATAGCCACCCATAGGATTATTACGGCTGACAAACGGAAGAAAGATAAGGGGCAGAGTGAGAAAGACAGTTTGGTAGACGTGAAGGAGAATCTGGCTACATTTCAGAAAGGGTTTCCTTGGGGATGATAGGAATTGAGCTGCAGGCAGTGAAAGACTGGAACAGATGAAGCATGGGGGCTACACGAACCCTCCACAGCAGCATTTCTCAAACGGTGTTCCTCGGAACCCTTGCTCTTCCAGATGTGCTAAAAGAAGAGACTTCATGGTCAAACAGACTTGGGAAAACTCTGAGGTAAGCGGAGTTACACCAGTTTCTTCGTTATGGTACCTCTTAGAACCTTTCGTGTGATACACGCATTGTGGATCGCAAGGAGTGGGGAAGTCACAGGATGCAGTGTTTTGCAAACTTACTTGACCATAGAATTCTTTTGTTTTCTGAGAATCTAGATAATATTTCTCAAAGTGTCGTTCAGAGACCACTGGCCTTACCTAGCTGTTAGAAGAGCAGATTGTCTGGCCCCCACCCAAGATTTAATAAATCCGGCAGAAGGGCAGAGAGGGACTGGGAATCTGTGCTTATAAGAAACACCCCAGTGATTCTTTTCTTTTGTTTTTTTCCTAATCAATACATTTATTTAGCATATAGTATATACCAGGCTCCATGTCGTATATTGGAGATACAGTGGTGAATAAGGCAGTTACACTTCTGGCCTCATAAAGGCGAATTCTAGTGCAGGTGGGAATGTGGGGGGAGTGCCAGGAACACAGGAACACACACAGTTACCATACAGTCTGGTCATGCTGTGATGGGGAAGACTTGTGGGGTTAGGGAACCTTTCCTGTGGGCGGTGATGTAAAATCTGGGACACTTCACCAGAAATCTGTTTGTAACAACAATGAAGACGTAGGGTTATGAAAATCCCTCCTCTGTCAAAGGAGCATGGCATTCTTGACCCTGAGATTTGTGAATATCCCTAAGACCCAGTGAGTCTTTAACACATTTAATCTGAGGACCAGTGATGCGGCTGGATGCATGTTCTCAGGGAAACACTTGAAGGGTGACAAAGATGTTGATGCAACTCTCTCCTCATCTGGCCACCAGGGGGCACTGTCACTGCAGGGTCGCTTGGTTGTGGGCAGGGGGCGTGGGTTGAGGTGGGCTAGATATGTTAGGACCTGGCCTGTCACATAACTGCAGATTGGGAGTACGGGAATACTGTAGGCAGTGCAATGTGTGGTGCAATTAGGGAGCACGTCATACCAGTGTGCATAGAAATGTACGTTGTTTTCAATCCTTATCTCAGTTGACCTGTCTGCACCGTTTGACTCTGTGGACTTGGGCTTTCTTCTCCTTTGACTCCTAAGACACAACTCGCTCATGATCTTCCTTCTACCCTTTATAATAATAACAACGAACATTTACTGAGCACGTGTATAAGCCAGGCTCTGTGCTAAACGCTTCATAAACCTTATCTCATTTACTCCTCTCCCTGTGAGATAGGGGCTATCATTAACTCTACTTTACAGGCAATTTTTACAGCGATTAAATCATCGGCCTAAATTTCCATAACCAGTGGAAGTTGGAGTTAGTTTCGGAATCCGGACAGCCCCGGGCTTGAGTCCTAGCCCACCACACTTACGGAGGTCCTTGTCAGCCTGTCCCCAGCATCACTACCCCCGGCTGCACTTTCAGGTTGTAGGCAATGCACACGGGGCCCTCCTTTCCCAATTTCCTCCTCTGCAACTCTGTGGACAGCTCCTACTCTCTGCCCCCACACCCTGTCCTGAAACCAGCTTTGGAGCTTCCCTCTAAGGAAGCAGCAACCACACGTATTGTCATGGTCTATTTGCTTGTCTGTCCCCCAAACAGCCTGTGAGCCCCTCCAGACAGCTTTGTATCGCTGGCGCTTAGTACAGAATCAAAACTGTTAATGGAATGAGTAGCCTCAAGAGGGAGTTAGATGCATGCATGGCCCTTCCTGAATGAAGTGTCATAGGTATTTGAAAACATCCCTTTGAACCTATGACAGAGACAGAAGGCTGTGTTGAAGGGACTCTTTTTTTCAGTCTTGTAATCCTGTGACTTTGAATTTGGGAATAATATTAGGTCAAAGGGCGAGAGGCCAGCACAGCATGTTCTGGTGAGTTGAGAATGCTCTTAGCGCTGCCCAAATCCATATTCACACCCAAGGTCAGGGCCAAGCTGGGCAGGTGGAGCTGATGGCATGTGGCTCTGGCATCCCCACAGGTGTGCAGCAGCTGCGCCTCCTCCAGATGGCTTCTGGGCAGCATTCCCTTTCCAACACTGGAAAGGTTTGGAAGACCTGGGGGAAAGAACAGAGAGCTGAGTGAAGAGTCTCTGTTCTCAGGTTGTCGTGGAGTATGTGGTGATGGGGAAGGGAGACCAGGAATCAACTAAAACTACGGAAATATCAGCCTGCCTTGGGGGAGGTAAGGCGCAGGCCTTCCTTCCTAAGTCCTAGTTAAAATGCAGTAAACACAGTGTTTTGCCAACGGGTCTGACCACTCCTCCCACAAGCTTCTGGACCCATGCTCTCCAGGTTGGTAGCCAGTAGCTGCACACAGCTATTGAGCAATTGAAATATGGCCGGTGTAACTCAGCTACTGGCCTTTAATTTTATTTAATTTTAATTAATTTAAATGGCTGTATGAGGCTAATGGTACCATATTGGACAGTGTAGATACAGAACATTTCCATCATTCCTAGTTCTATTGGACAGTACTACTCTAGAGGGTTTCTGGTCTAATGACCAGCTTAGCATCATCAAGGGAGAAATCAGGAGCATCTAAGTCATTTCATTTCATAACCAAAGCAAAGCTACGGCTGACTTGAAAAACATACATTTATCATACAAACGTGAGTGTGGGTCTATCTATCTTCTATCTACTGTCCTCTATCTATCTATCTATCATCTATCTATGTATCTATGTATCTATCTACCTACCTACCTATCTAGCATGTATCTACCTATCCTCTATTTATATCATCCATCTATCCATCATCTATCATCTACCTCTCTGCCTAGCAGCTACTATCGAGGCTCTTAATCTCTCCCCTTCCCAGCACCAGATTTAACTCAGAGGTCTATTTTTGCTTAGTTTTTCATATTTTCCCCTTTCTCCTTTCAGAAGACATTGATTGACCTCACTGAAGGGAATGTTCTCGAAGTGTTGCCAAGGACCACCCGTGTGTTTTTTCTGCAGCTGGCACTCTGAGGATGCATAGTTCCCGAGGTGTCTGCTCTGCAGGCAGGGGTCTGAACACACTCCTGGTTCTCTGACCTGTGACTCTGCCATGGGGGAGGCAGTGCCCAGGACGCTGGGCCTTTGGTTTCCCAGAGGAAGTTGCTACACCCATCATTTCTGTGTGATGTCTGGGAGAGGGTAATATCTAATACTGGCAAGAAAGTAACTATCCGAGGTCAGCAAGTAAGGAGGTCAGGCATGGCTTTTTATTTTCAAAGTATTTTATTTAAATAAGTTTCTCTTTTGGTGTGTTTGAATTTTCCAGAAAAAAAAATACTGACAAATACTATACAAGTTGGACCATTTATATTCTTCTTGAAAAGGTGACTGCCCTTTTTCTACATCTGCCCCTTCCCCTCGCCCAAGGAAATAAAAGGGCGCATCCAAGGACCAGTGGGGAAAAGAGCTCCCTGCCTCTGGTGGCTGAGTCTGGCTGAAGCTGTTCAGAACTCCCGGGCCTGGGCGCTGCTCCCCAAGCCTGTGCTGGTTTAGGAAGCCTCTTCTTTACAATCCTTTCTGCCCTCTCTTGGCTTAAACCCCGCAGGATGGGCCAAGCAGGCTCTAGTCCTGAGGCACCCGGTTGCCAGTGGCAGTTCTGGGGCAGAGGCTGGGAAGAAGGAGTAGAGATGGAGAGAAATAAAGGGGTGGAGCCAGGGTGGTGCTGGGAGAAGAGGCAATGAGATGAGAATAAAACAGGGGGGAGAAAGATGAGAAGGAAGTGGGAAGAAAAGGGAGTGGACTCCACTAATTGCCTTGGGCTCCTTTCACACACCCACTTATTCAACACAAACTTGAGGGCTTGTCATGCACCTGGCACTGTTGTAGGGACCCCATGAAGGTTGTCAGGGGAGTTTGGGGTGGGGAAAATGTACACCTCATTCGGGGTTTGGGCCTCCTGGGTCGTAGGCTGTGGAAGCAACTGAGAAGTGCATTTCTGGGTGTTTCATGCCTGGAGGTAGAACACAAGTCCATTCGATTAGGAGACAGTGGGGCACTGCACCTTGAGACAGAGGCCTTGTCACAGCAGTGACAACTCACTGCTGTCTTAATTCAAACCAGCAGCCAGTTGCCATGGCAACCATGTTACTGGTGTGGTCCCTGATCCCGGTGATCTGCTCTCCTAGATCATATCTGACACCAGTCTCGGCCATAAGCCTCCACATCTCCCTCAAGTCATCCATTTTAGGGGGACTGAGAGTTGGAGTCAGGAAGGGCAGCTCATCCCGGTGGCAGCAGTAGACGTGGGGAGACGACTAGTCATCCTGTGATGTGAAGGGGACAGCCAGATGCTCCATAACAAGGTCTCTGTGTGACAAGGGGATAGAGAATCAGGGGCTGCTGCTTGCTTTGGTCAAAGGGGTGTATGAGTGAGGGGCCCAAATGCCCAAGGTATTTAGGGCCACTTGGGGTGAGAGGGTGAATGTGACTGTTTCTCAAATATGTGCAGGCCTGAATTACGATTCACAGGGTCACCTGCTAGAAGACCCTGGTGCAGAAGTTACTGTCAGATGCCCGCCCTCCGTGGGCCTGGAGTATGCCTGGAGGGCAGGAGAGTACCAGGTAGCCCAAGTCAGCAAATAGAGTATATTTTTCCATTAACACAATCTTATAGATTTTAGTTTTTGCTATAAATATCATAGTTTAGTTACATCATTAATTAAATTGCGTTTTTTCCACCATTTAGAACAGCTTCCATGGGAAAATATTTCAAGAGAGCTACCCAGCAGATTTGCAAAGGGATTTTTAGAGCACTGTCTGCCCCCAACTTGGGGATTATCCATCTTTGTAATATGGTCACAATACAATCAAAACACCAACCCGTTCATTCTATCAGTGGATTAACTCTGCCTCGCAACCTCAGCCCAGTGGGGAGACGCTCTCCTCAACTCACATGTTTACATGTCCCCACGGACCTCAGGGCACATTTGTCAACCTGACCCTTGGTTCTGCATGCGCCCTCCTGTAGAATTCAATACCCAACTTCCGTCCATTGGCAATTAGTGGGCTCACTTAGAAGAGAAGGTCACTTGGGGGTACTGGCGAGGTATTGCAAGTTTACCCTTAGCATGATCATGTATCCAACAGCATCCACAGACAGTTATGAGTACCAACTGTGTGCAAGGCACTTGCCTGAGCTTCAAGATAAATATTAATAAACCTCTATATAGCTTCATCCTACTTTCATTTAAACTCTGTAACTTCTGCATTCCATTTGCAACATACCACACACCCATTACAACCTTATGAAATCGTTTCCAGTGTGTCTTCTGTGAGACTGTACCGGTGATTGTCTTAATTCCTTCCCCACTGAAACCTTTGGTTACATAGGAGACACCTAGCTCAGGTGTAGCCTCTCCTTTCCATCCGTAAAACATACATTACACGGGTCCACACTGTAGTCCACTGAAGTGAATGGAGTTCACTTGCTTTCTATAGCTTTCCAGCAGTCACTACCAAGAGCTGTTTGTTCTTGCTTGGAGAAGGGTGCCTCGCTGAGTGGTTCTGAGGGCAGCATCTCAGAGAGAGGTCTGGGACCACATTAAATACCTATCAGTGGTAATGAGGACTTTGTCATGAGTTGCACACAATAGCTTTCAATAAATTTTGATCCATCGCACGTTAAACTTTTTCTCCCAGATGAGAAATCAGAAGCGGAGGAACTTGGTGTATCTGTATCAATATACAGGGACGGGGACTGTACCAGGTTGCTGGATGGTCCAAATATGAGGATTTCCAGTGAAAGGTTATGTAGGGATAGGACTAGGAAAGCACACATCTCTGACCTGAGTGGTATACAGAACAGACAGTGCATAGGCACCTTGCCTGTTATATTATTGAGCCTGTGTGCCCAAATCTGGCCAGGCCTTCCTGTGAGATGTTGGCAAGAGCCGATAATGTACTGCTTTGCCCAGGGCCTTGCACAAAGTAGACATTCAATGACATTTGATGAACACAATGTACTTGCCCAGGTACCCGTTGCCTGAATTTGCGCGCGTGTGTGTGGTGGGCATGGTGTGCATGCGTGTGCATTTGGGAGGCATGTCAAGATCTAGGAATAAGTGTTCCTTGTGCTTTTGCATATAGAGTATGCCAGAGATGGGTGGAAGGCATGCCTGAGTCTGTAGTCAAGAGCATTGCTATTGGACACAGCTGCCAAGACAGTGCCCAAGAATTGTTCATGTGCTCCCCAGGAGTGCCCTCCATGGGGACACTCAGTCTGAGGTTTGTTCCTTGGTTGAGTAGTTCCTCTGTGGACTTGAGTGCATCACTTCAGGGGCTGCTGCTCCCTAGCCCGTGTGTAGCTGGAAGGCAGCTTAGCCCCCAAGGGAGGACGCCTCTGCTTCCTACCAAGCTAGACAGGCAGTGATGGCCTCTTCTCCATCTGGAGAAGCTTGGGCTGAGCAGAGATCCAGAGATCTTCTTCAGCCTTCTTCTTCTTCTTCTTTCCCTTGTTTCGCTCCGGTTGTTGGCCACTCTTGCCTGACCGACTCCAGCAGCAATGGCAACAGATGAAAAGGAGTGTGAGGACCACCAAGAGTGGTAGCCCCATGAGGACACCCAGGCAGATGGTGTTGAAGAGGCCCTCTTGGTGTTTGGTTGAGATGATGTCCCAGATGGTGCTAAAGAAGGAGCTGATTTTCTCCATGTTGCTTGGCTAGATTGGGGCCAGAGGAACCTTTCAGCTCACTAGCAAGTTCTGGACTCAAAAGGATGCAGCCTTGCCCACTTGCAATTTATTCCTCTTCCAGATTAGGGTTTGGGCACGCCACTGACGGCACCTGAAGAGAGCAAAACAGACTATTCAAGAGAAATGCTGTGGAAATGGTCTATAATTTTTAATAACATCATAGATTTTAGGCTTAGGAAAGGGGAGGGAATCAACGATTTCCAGAGTTCACTGAAATTTGTATTAAGACTCAATAAACAAGATATATGCATGCATTTAGTCAACAAGTACAAACCAATTCTTGCTATGGACACACTATGTTTGGCTTAGGATATAAAAATGAATAGTCTATCAGACCTGCACATAGTAGGTGCTCAGCAATGGTTAGATAAATGAACCAATGTGTCTGTTTGGTGTTTTGGTTAGGAGTTGGCATCCTGGACCCTCTATAAGAGCAGTTCTCAATCCTTTCTCCACCTGATTGCTGTTGAACACGTCCCCCCCACAGGACAGCTCTGTATCTGACCTTCTGTGAAAACTACTTGCCATTTTCAACACTTAGGAAAGCTTAAGCAAGATGAAATGTCTAAGGCTTGCTGCCTGTCTTAGGGGATTTGGACCTCCCCCAAGGTAAGAAGTTCTCAGTCCTCATCCTGCCTCCCTCCTGCCTTCCTTACTGCCCTTCATTCTCTCTTCCCTGCTCCAGGTCTCTTCCCTCTTACATCCCACTCCTGTGCCCGGCGAAGACTCCTCGTGCCTTAGGTGGGGGACCATTTTCTGGTTCTCTCTGTTTCTAACTTCCTCTCCCTCATTACCCTCGTCTTTGCTTTCTGTCCCTCAACCAAATATTCCCAAGTCTCCTTCCCTGCCTGTTCCCTTCCTTTGCTGCGGAAAAGGAGTCTTGCAGTCTGCTTAGTGATGGTGCTTGGAAACTGGGATGGGGTCCCTGGATGCCTCCCTACTCCTATCCTGAGTTCAGCTTACAGCTGGGGCTGTTCTGGTTGCTTATACAAAGCAGGCCCTCTTCCTTTGGTACCCCCTCCACCTCTCCACACATATCTTAGGCCTCAGCATTCAAAGTATAAGGTTTTAGAGGCTCCTTCAGATATGGAATCTTGGTTCTTGTGTCTAGACAGGACTTGAAAGACAGGCATTATTCAAGAAATTTTTGTTTTTTTGAGGAAGATTAGCCCTGAGCTAACTGCTGCCAATCCTCCTCTTTTTGCTGAGGAAGACTGGCCCTGAGCTAACATCTGTGCCCATCCTCCTCTACTTTATACGTGGGTCGCCTGCCACAGTATGGCTTGCCAAGTGGTGCCATGTCCGCACCCGGGATCTGAACCGGTGAACCCTGGGCTGCCAAAGCAGAACGTGTGAACTCAACTGCTGTGCCACTGGGCCGGCCCTGAAGAAAAATTAAGAGACCTCTTGGTGCAAGACATTGCCCTGGACCCAAAGATCAAAGAGTCATTGATTTTCAGGCTGGAAACCTTAGGGATCATCCCAACCAACACTCTCACATAAAGATTAAGATTCTGAGGCCCAGACAGGGGAGGTGACATGTATGAGGCCACGCAAAGCTGTGATGAACACCCAGACCTCTGGAAAATGGGTCCGGGGCTCTCCGAAGGCTGCTGGGCAAGCAGAAGAACTAAGGATGATGATATTACTTTATATTTGTATTTCACTTTTAAGTGAGCAATGGGATGGTGCATTGTCTATGGAGAAAGCCACTGGGGCACCTGAGTCTAGAATCATTCTGAAGACCAGGCTTCATTCTGTTGTCTTGCACTGCAGTATAAATGTGTGTCCCCTCTGGGTGGGGTGTGGGACATGGTACCCCAGGGGGTGTCCTTGGAGGTCTAATTCCTTAGATAACACACTCTGTAAGTGTTCCATGTACCCAGTGCCCATGTGTCCATCAAGCCCCACCATCCCCGACCTCGGTCTTAGTCTGCTGGCATGCAGCCCCACACCCTTATGATGTTATTTATGCAATTTATGCAATTGTATAAATTGACACCAGCTACTGTGCCATTTGGCCCATGGAAATGAACTAAGTGATATGCCAGTCACTTTTCTAGGCACTTTACACCTGTTAACTTATTTAGTCTTTATTACAACCTTATGAAGTAGGTACAATCTGTTTCCCCCATCCCACAGCCAAAGAGACAGAGGCACAGGTCACACAGTGAGTGAGCGGCAGAGCTGGCCTTGCTCATTCTGGGATGTTTGACTCTAGATCCCCCAGGGGTGAGCCCTTCACAGGTGTTGCTCTGGGCCTCATATGCCTTTGTGTGGAATTAACCCATTTTTGGCAAGTAGCCCAGGATTTATAGAATCTTATGCTACTTGGCTATTCCCCAGATTGACTTAAACAGTTATTCCAGTCTGTTGCAAAACAAGACTGCAAAGAGATTTATTTCCTTTGTTAGATACTTCACAAATGCATGAAGATACATACAATAAAAATCCAGTCCTGCCCAAGTGGAGGTTTATAGAAAGCATATGGCCGCCTGAACTTAAACTCAACATGCAACAAAGAAAAGTATTCTGAAAAGTCACATCCCCTTGCTGGAGACTCTGCCGGAGCCCCTCTGAGGCCCTGGGAACAGCGCACGGTGATCTGTCTACACACCCTCAAGCCCACAGGCTCTTTAGGGAGAAAACTCTCCCTTGGATCCCAGAACTCCTCAGCGGAGCCACTCCCCTGTCTTGCTGCTTCTCACACCACTCTCTCTCTGGATTTTCCTTCTCCCTTTGCCATGACCTTGGCTTTGACCTCAGCCTTGCATGGCCCAGTAGTTTGTGGCCCATCTAAAAGGATTTTTGTGCTCCATTGTGGGAAGACTTTGGGTGATTTTCTCTAATTTGACCCACACATAAGCTTTCCTGGGGCCAAACGCTCCTTGCACTGCACCGCTGTGATTCAGATGAGACAACACTGTCACACTTGTGACAAGCTATTCTCTGCCAGGGGTCATGCGGTCCCTGAAGGGAGCATAAGTGCATTAGGGGACAATCTTGGGTTCAGCTAGAAAGAGAGAGGAAGGACATCGAACTCCTGGGGCGTATTAGGGCAGTTTTCATGAAGGGAGAGCCACTCGAGTAAGACCTCGAAAGATGAGTAGGATCTTGACAGAGAAACATGGATAAAAAGGACGTTCAAAGATTCCAGGCAGAGAAACTTCTAGAACATGGGCAGGAGAACAGGGGGCCTTCTGGTGAGCCTGGGGCTCAGGGTGGGAAAGGAGAGGGCTGTAGGTTGTGGCCAGAGTGGAAAGGGCTTTCATAGGGCATACATTTATCTGGGGGTTTTATAACAGGAGGATGTTGTGATCAGAGCTGCCCTTCAAGAAGAGATAATAAGATCTGAAAAGTTCTGGAGAATGTTTTAAGAGAATGCTTCAACCACTTAACACACATTTATTGGGCACCTATTATGTGCCACACACTGAGTTAGGTATTGAGAATTCAGGAATGAACGACAAAGATATGGTTTCAGATATCATGGAGACTTGTACATTCCAGGGGGGTTATTATTAGTGAGGGATCATGTCATAAAAGACAAATATAATAAGCAAATTCCAACTTAGGCTGCTTAGTTGGCTAAAATAGAAGTATGCATTTGAATTACGTGTTTATCTCAACATCCCAGGCCCTCCTACCTCTCCTAACCTTTGTCTCAAACTCATCCATCCCATGGCACCTAAAATAGCCTTTGAATAAATAGATTTCTTTTCAAGCTAAAGCTAAGTCAATAATTCACTTTTGGATCCCTAAAGGTACTTATTTGAGTCTGCTCTCTATACAGCCAAAGAGAGTATTCATTAACATCTGGGAATCCAGTCTGGGGAAAATTCAATTAAAAGGTATTCTTTATATTTTTTAATCTAAGAATTCTAGGCTCCCAGGTTACTTGCTGAGCTCTGCTAATCTATAGAGTTTCATTAGTATTTATGAGCCTCACATTATTAGCATTTCTAGGAAACAATCAAATCTCTCCTTGGTGGTATGAATTAAAAGTTAGAGCTTCCACAGAATGTTTTGCAAAAGGAGCCACACTTTGGGCCTTAGAAATGCACTCTGGGAGACTCCATCCTTTTGTTGGCTCTCAAGTATTGCTGACACTGTTTGAAAGATAATTCATCTATTCTTGTAAAACCAATAATAGGTGCCAACCAACCTTGATTGTTTGATTGTGGTTGTGGGGTTGAGTGTGAGGTGGGAGAAGAGGGGAAAGTTACTTTCAGTCTCCTTGAAACCAAAAACTGTTCATCTCTATATCTTCAGTAGTATCTAGCTGAGGATAGAGTCATTTATTCATTCTTTCTTCCAACAAGCTTCTGTCTGCCTGTGTGTGAGGTGCTGATGGAGAACAGTGATCCTGGAACCAGAGACCTGGGTTTGAGCCCTGGGTCAACTCTCGTGACCTTGTCGAATTGCCGAACCTCAGCTACAAAATGAAGCTAATAAGCTTCCTTCAGAATGATGTCATGAGGATTAAAACAACTCAATATATTTAATGAATTTTGTAAACTGTAAAATAATATAAAACATCATCTATAAAATAGTAGGTTATCTCCAGATAACAACGGACCAATTCTAGCCTTGAACTTTTCTTCCCCATGCCTTACCTTCAAGCCCAATGCTCATTGCCAAGGAGCCATGAGCCCCACCCAATTCAAAAGGAAAGGGCTGCACAGGAAACCTCCCTGCTTGTGGCTGGTCTGCAGGTCTGTGGCTGTCGTTCTAGACTCTGGCATCCAGCAACAGGGATGGAGAAGGGTCACTTGGGAACACCTGAGGGTGTGTGGAGGACTCTTGAGCACATAAAGGGAGGCCCAGGGGAGCACTTAGCCCTCTGTAGGTGCCAGCTTCCTCCCCAGGCTTCAGAATCCCTGGAAGTATACAGGGCTGGGTCCTTCCACAGGGAGGTCTGATCCATCCCTGAGAGCCAGGAGCTGCTCCAGAGTTGTGTCCACGCTGGCCCTCAGCCTAGTCTTCCTCCTGGAGCTCTCCAGGCAGGAGGTGGGGCATTCTACTTTGTGCCAGCCTCTCACTGGTCTTGTTTATTAGATAAACTAATACATGGAAAGCTGTAGAATAGTG